AAATTCGGCTTTATCAACACAGGAATAAATTACATTTTATAAAAAATATATTAACATAGAAAAGTGATTTTAAATGATAATAATATTTTAATGTATTTTTGATTTGAAAAAAATGTGTCCTTGGTGAGCATGTCTCTAAAATGACCCCAAACCTTTGAACAGTAATGTATTTTCCTGGGATGCCAGTTTCCATTAGGGATTCAAGGTGCGGCGTGTGTACGTGTGGGTAATGCACTCGGAGCAGGAGATATGGCCGGAGCGATCCGCACCAGCAAGGTGTCCCTCACCTGCACAGGTTTACAAACAGTCATATTCCTTTGAGACACATTCATCTTTCATTGTCTGCTCATGTCTGACACATCCTTTATCTTTTGGATGCAGTATATTAACATAGAAAAGTGATTTTAAATGATAATAATATTTTAATGTATTTTTGATTTTAAAAAAATGTGTCCTTGGTGAGCATGTCTCTAAAATGACCCCAAACCTTTGAACAGTAATGTATTTTCCTGGGATGCCAGTTTCCATTAGGGATTCAAGGTGCGGCGTGTGTACGTGTGGGTAATGCACTCGGAGCAGGAGATATGGCCGGAGCGATCCGCACCAGCAAGGTGTCCCTCACCTGCACAGGTTTACAAACAGTCATATTCCTTTGAGACACATTCATCTTTCATTGTCTGCTCATGTCTGACACATCCTTTATCTTTTGGATGCAGCTGCCTTGGCTGTTTTGCAAGGTCTTGTGCTTGCATCAACAAAAACTGTGATTGGTTTCTTATTTACATCAGACGGGTAGGTATTTGTTTTGCAAATCAGACTTGCAGTAATGATGTTCTTTAAACAGTACTGTACTGGTGATTGTGTCTTATTTTGTAGGCATATTGTGGCACTCGTCTCCAAACTCTTGAACGTCTATTGTGTGCTTCAGTTCTTTGATGGTCTTGTTGTGAGTACTTTACATTGCTATTATTTATTTTTATTTTTTTTCAGAAGAATTGACAAGTGATTTATTTTTATGCATGGCTTTAGATGGCTGTGTTTTCCAAAGGCACTGTTTTTTTTTTCTTTCTTAAAGTTAAGAAAAATCCAAAAATCAGTACTTTTTTTTTTAAGTTGAAAAAGTGTAGGCTATATAATAAAAAGTTATAAATAATACAAGATTAAAAGAAAATACTATTTCAGTCTTTCTACCTAAAGGTTTAATGTTTAATTCAATGTGTTACTTGCCATTTTTATGCATTTGTAAAATTTTATAGCAAAAAAATTAATATAAAGGAAATTTTACACCAATTTTTTTCGCAATAAATATATACATTAAATAAAACATGTATATTGAGTAATGAAGAATGTATCTTGAATGAAGTTTATTTTCTCACCCCATTGGTGAATTGTTTTTCTGCTTTTAAAGCATAATTTTAACAACAATATAGTTGCCAATGGGGTAAGAAAATATTTTCTTGGACAAAATCGTATGCACGTTTTGCTCCTTAAGTACATGTTTTTTGCAGTGTAATCATTTAAGTGTTTGTTTAGCTCAACTGGAAAGCACAAACAGATAAATTGTATAGTTTGAATGCACAGTCAGATAAATGCAAATTCTGTAAATGTAAATGTTTAAATGTATTCTTTTGTTCTGTCCTCAAGTGTGTCAGCATGGGTATTCTGTTGGGTTCAGGGCAGCAGAAGATTGCAGCTGTAGCTAATTTCTTTGGGTATTACTGCATTGGACTTCCACTTGGCACCTCGCTCATGTTTGCTGCGAAATTAGACGTTGTTGGTTTGTTTTCCTTCATTTTTTCATCCTGTGATCTTATTAGCAATTCAAATAAATTGTCACTCATTGTACTCGTTGATATTCTGTGACCTTGTCATCTTCTGTGGTCACCATGTTAGCATCTGGTTTCTAAATCATAATTTCATTGGGTTGAAGCACGTAGAGAACATCAGTGGACGCAGTACAGGTCCCTGCAGAATTGCATTAATGCATCTCGAGCACCCAGAACAGCATTCATTAAAACATTTCTGTAATGAGATAACAGCTGTCCTACAGCAATGTCCTCTCTTGCTTTCACAGGCTTTTGGCTGGGACTTCTCATTTGCGTATGTGTGCAGTCCAGTTTTTTCATTGCAGTCATTTTTAAGCTCAACTGGGAGCGAGTGACCAAAGAGGTATATTTCAGTATTTCAGGTGTGCTTCCTATTTTAGTTTTTTTGTAATCATCTTTTTAAGATGTTTAGTAAAAATGAATTACAATTCACAGTCTATTTTACTTCATAACGTGTTGAAAACAGATATTCAGTGAGGAAAAAAATATAGGGTGAGACTTGATTATGTCCATCAGGATTTGATCAGATTATGAAAAGTGTCTTTTACATACCCAAATGGATCCAGACTGAATGTGAGTTTGATAAAACAATGTCTAATTAGCTTAATTTTTTATTTATTTTTTTAAAGCTGTTTGTTAACATTATCCAGTAGCTTGTACTGCCCATATGATGTCAAAAATAAATAAATAAAAATAAATAAATATTAGATAATATTAAATAATAACTACACTGAATACATTATTTAAAAATATATATTTTATAGAAATTATTATTAGTATTATAAATTAAATTGTCATTATTATTATATAAATATGATTAATTTATTTATTAATATTATGAGTTTATTTACATTGTGAATTTTGACTTTTTATTCAGCTTTACACTGCAAAGACTGATGCGTTGTATGTATTGATTGTTGAGTAAAGCTGATAAAAAATAAAAAATAAAAGTTTTTGCTGTCTTGCAATTACAGTTATTTCCTTCCAGAAATGCAAGTGTAATTTTAGTTAAAATCTCCATGCTTTTAATTCTTTTCTGTTCTCATCAATTATATGGTATGATACATCCATAACATTTCAGGCAGTGGAAAGAGCTGGAAAGCATAAAATCCCTGCAATGTCAACTCCGGATAGTCTCAGAGCGAGGCACAGAGAGGTATGTCTGATGACTTTTACTGATCTTAACACAAAACATCTCTGGAAACTGAGCTTGATGTCTTGTCTGCTCTCAGAATGGGGATGAGTACATGAGCATGAACTCGAGTGATCAGAACGAGGAGCCAGACGTGGAGGAAAAGCTCTCTACCGCTCAGCTGATCCTCAGGAGGGGTCTGACCACCCTTGCTGCTCTTCTCATCCTAGCTGTAGGAATAGCCGTCCATCTCACTGTACCTTTACCTGAGGTGTCTTATGCTGTCAGAGCAAATACTACTTTGGACTCAAACTTTACTACGCCTACATCTCTCATCCATTCAACTTCAATCTCAATCTGAAAACCAGAGCCTAGAGCTGTAGCTGTTTGTACATACAGTATATCCCAGGTATTTTCTGTTTAGCCGTCTTAAGTGTCAATTTTTCAAAATTGAGATTTATACATCATCTGAAAGCTGAATAAATAAGCTTTCCATTGATGTATGGTTTGTTTGGATAGGACAATATTTGGTCGAGATTTGATGAAAATCTGGAATCTGAGGGTGCAAAAAAAATCTAAATATTGAGAAAATCGCCTTTAAAGTTGTCCAAATGAAGTTCTTAGCCATGCATCTTACTAATCAAAAGTTCAGTTTTGATATATGTACTGTAGGAAATGTACAAAATATCTTCATGGAACATGATCTTTACTTAATATCCTAATGATTTTTGGCATAAAAGAAAAATCTATAATTTTGACCCATACAATGTATTTTTGGCTATTGCTACAAATATACCCCAGCGACTTAAGACTGGTTTTGTGGTCCAGGGTCACATTTAATAATTTCTGAAGCATCACATACATGAGGTTTAAAACAATTAACAAACCAACAGAAATGCAAATATATTTGGTTTTAAGAATATTTCGTTTTATTGGAAAACAAAACAAAACACTGGTTAAGAAAGTACTATTTTAAAATGTTTTATCTCAAAACCTGCAGACGACTTCGTTTTTATATATATATATACTTTAGAAAATTAACTTTTCGTTTGTTTCGAAATTGTATATTTTATTTGCAATTTTTAAATCCCCAGCTGGCAGCAGCAGTGTTTACTGATGTTTTGGACTCTTATATTTGACTGAAATTGTTTGAGAACAACATTGATAGCATAATCTATCACATCTTTACCTTTTCCCCAGGGATTCATGGGGCAGAAAGTCATTTTTACGGTCACCTTGAATGAAACAATCCCATCTGCTGACCATGTTCTGCAGTAATGAGAAAGGAAAATGCCACAATCCTTAGAAAAAATCAGGGATTTGTAGCCTTTTCCTATTTTGCTCGTGTCCTCTGACACATTAAGCCTGACACATTAAGCCATTTATGATTCTTAAAAGAAACAAAATACAAAGCACTTTTTACATGTATTTTTAAACATCATAGCTTTGCATAATATGCAACAAATACAACTGCAAAGTTTTCAATCATGAGCAGTCTCTAAATCATATTTTATATAATCAGTCATTCCTGATTTGATTTGTTTTGATTAAAAAAAACAGATTAAAGGTGAAAATGATAAAACAGATGTTCTGATATTCATTCATCTTAAGCACACATTCTGAATATTTTAAACATAATTTTAAAAAGAATAAAAGGAGACATATTGGTGTATGCACAATATTTATTTGGCAAATAATGGAAAATTACTAAAATCAATCATGAGCAGTCTCTAAATCATATTTTATATAATCAGTCATTCCTGATTTGATTTGTTTTGATTAAAAAAAAACAGATTAAAGGTGAAAATGATAAAACAGATGTTCTGATATTCATTCATCTTAAGCACACATTCTGAATATTTTAAACATAATTTTAAAAAGAATAAAAGGAGACATATTGGTGTATGCACAATATTTATTTGGCAAATAATGGAAAATTACTAAAATAACTTACATGTATAATTTGTTACCCATCACACATTTGCAATATTAAAATTCATGAGTCCAGCTATAGGAACTCAGAGCAGCTGTTACAACATCTTTTTCTTTCTCTTTTTTAAATTATTTTTCTTGAAATCTTGCCAGAACTTTCAGCTTTGTGAACATCAAACTGGTTCAAAGGTTGGTGTGAGGCACTGAGGAGGAAGGGAAAACATGTTAATGTTTGCCTTTCTCCTTAAAAAAGTTATCCTTTTTATGAAATCGCATCTACTGTATATGATGGTCCAACACATCGTGAGTCTAATGTACGTTAGTTTAGGTATTAGTCACTCATGAACTTGATTCTTGGAAGCTGATTGATGATTCACTTATTTGTTTGTAAATGTTCTTGGCTGTGAGATGTACCATAAGAAGAAACAAACCAAAATAGATCTACAAATACAGTGACATTACTGGCAAACGACAATCAAAAGTCAGTTGTAATGATAAACAAATCTTGGCTTTTAAATGTTAAAGTCATATTTTGTGGCTCTGGGTTGAAAAGAGCAGCTGGATGAATCATTTCATATGGGCTAATGGAGGGGGATGTGGAAAAGAGGAAAGATAACATGTGAATGGCATGCATAAGGCAAAACATATTTGTTATTGTAATCTGAAGGTCATTGAAAGTGAAAAGGCCAAAGGTCATGTGGAGTATAAAAAACCTGAGAACGAGAGGATTTAGTAGCATAAGTTTATGCAAAGTGTATTTTTACACATTGTATTGTTTAATGTTTTTAAAGAAAGACATCTCTTATGCTCACCAAGACAATCAAAAATACAGTAAAAACAGCAATATTGCGAAAAATGATTACAGTTTAAAATGTTTTCTTTTTAAATGTATTTTGAAATGTAATTTATTCCTGTGATGGCAATGCTGGATTCTCAGCATGATTACTCCAGTCTTCAGTGTCACACGATCCTTCAGAAATCATTCTAATATGCTGATTTTCTACTCAAGAAACATTTCTTATCATCAATGTTGAAAACAGCTTTATTATTGCTTAATATGCTTAATTTTGCTCAGTGTGCACTGCTTAATATTTTTGTATAAGCCATAATACATTTCTTGCAGGATTATTTGATGAAATAAGAAGTCCAAAAGATCAGCATTTATTTCAAATATGTTTTTGTAACAATTTAAAATGTATTTAATGTCACTTTTAACCAGTTGAATGCATCCAATTGCTGAATAAAAGTAAAAATGTCTTTTGAAAAAAAAAAAACATTTGTAAGAATTTTAATAGTAATTTTTAGTATTTGTTTACTTGAGGAGTACTTTTTTTTTCATATGTATGCCAGAGAACACTCCACTAGTAAACGATCCACCAAGCTGTGATACAATAAGTCAATAATTTAAGTAACAATAAGTAATATGTAAAGCTTTTTTCAAAGTAGTAACTTTGTTGTTGTGGTGGAACTAGAGCCAACTGTAACTCAGGCACGGTTTCATAGTTAGAGCTGGAAGTCTTCTGCTGTTAAATACACTAAACTATACATTTTCAACTCAATACTGGCTATATTAAATAGAATCATTATACTTATTACACGTATGTGTTGTAAATACAGTTGTTAATCAACTTGTAATTAGATTTTAAAAATAAATGATTGATCTTGTGAAAAAATCTATCGTCACACAATGCAACTCTTTGCCAGGATTGCAAACATCCTCCTCCCATCCTGTGGATTAAATCAAAGCTTCTCATTGTCTTCACCTCAGTTAATCAGTAAGCTTTCAAAGGTGCTGAATGCGGACCTGAAGAATGAACAGCCGTAGAAGGGTCCCTTACAGTCTATGAAGCAAAGCCAGGCCTCTTACAGTGTCTTCGAGGATCACTACTGAGAAGATCATGGACGCCTCGAGTCCCAGAACTGATGCCGTGTCAATGGAGCCCAGTGCCAAGCTGTTTTGCTGTGGTTTCGTGAGGCGTTGCATCCCTCTGGTGTATAGAGAAGAGCTATACCACATCCTGAGCATGACTGGACCCCTGGTGAGGAGTCTGTCACATACCCATCATGATAATGTGCTATGCTTGTTTTGTATGAATAGTAGAGAGCTGGCAGAGAAATGCAACCGCTTATACAAAAAAATTATCCATTACTGAACAGACCATGATCTGTTTTGGGTACAGTTTGTATTATGTCTTCATGCATGTCCATTTGAATATAAATGAATCCTGGATGAGTTGATTCTTGATTGTTAAATGTATCCATAATAATGAACGATATGTATAAAAAATATGCCTGTCATGAATAGATTAGAAATCACATTAAGAGCATGGGATATTTCCAAAAGAATATCAGTTAAAGAAATTAGTTTACAAATGAAATTCTCTCAAGAATCTTCACAGAGGTGCTTTGTTTTTCATCCATGTGACTGTGTACTTTCACAGCCATAATCCATGTGAGTCCAGAACTTTCATCTTCATTTTGTGCTAAATATTTCTTTGTTTGTATTCTTAGCTTGTGTGCCGGTTCCTGAATTTCCTCCTTTTCTTTGTGGTGACAATGTTCTGTGGCCGCCTGGGGAACACTGTGCTAGCGGGTTATGCCATGGCCTCAGCTGTAAGTCTGTTCGATTCAAAACTTCTGCCGGCCAATATGTGTAATGGACCACATTAATAAGATGTGCAATGTAGTTATAGAGCATTAAGCAAAATGTGTTCGATTTGTTTTTCAGACAATAAATGTGACAGCTGCAGCAACGGGGTTGGGACTTGCTTTGGCATGCGACACTTTGGTATCACAGGTGTGTTTTATAGACAAATATCACTCCAACTGCTTAATAAAATAATAAACCAAAAGCCTGAAATGAATTAAAAAAAAGAATTAAATAATGAAAGGACTACCGTGAATCACACAACAGTTTTTGACAGCAATGAAAATGAGGCTGTGAGGGACTTAAGTACAGTGTGTATAATGGCTTGTACTGTTGTTTAACAAAATACCGATTGTTCAGCTGACAAAATGTTTTTCCGAAAAAAACTTTCAGTGGACTAAAACTCCATAAACAGTTGTGAAAATTGTTATCTATCAGTTTTATTTAGTGCTTGTTGTTAGTTTATACGTGTGAAATTCAATATGGTGTCTAACCTTACTAAGGTCTATAAATAACGTGTCTTGTTTATGTTAAATACTTCAAAGGCATTAGAATACAAATGATTCTCCATTGTTATATTCAAGCATATTGCATGACGTCTTGCATTCCATATAGATGAAATGCTGTATGACATGCAAAGAAATCAACATAAAATAAATATTTCATTATAGATCAGTTAAAGTAATTGGTAAAAACAAGATTCTGTCATAACATTTATAGTCATAAATTTTTTTTAGGTTGATTCCCCTAATCCGTTAACACAGGTCAGAGTAAAGGGTAGGCTATAAAGCTGTTACTGAAGCAAAGGTAAAAAAAGCTAAAAGGTACATTTTTGTCCTTTATTTATCCCCATGATGGTATATACAGTAATAGTATCTTAAAAGCACATATTAGGACTTTAAATTACATATTAGTGTTTATTTACTTACATACCAAAAGAGTACATGTTAGTACCTTTTGAAAAGGTACTGTCCTAGTGACGGTTTTGTACCTTGTTTTCTGAGAGTGTATAGTAAAATAACTGATAGCTTACGTATGCAAAGAAATCAACATAAATAACATAAATATTTCATTATAGATCAGTTAAAGTAATTGGTAAAAACAAGATTCTGTCATAACATTTATAGTCATAAATTTTTTTTAGGTTGATTCCCCTAATCCGTTAACACAGGTCAGAGTAAAGGGTAGGCTATAAAGCTGTTACTGAAGCAAAGGTAAAAAAGCTAAAAGGTACATTTTTGTCCTTTATTTATCCCCATGATGGTATATACAGTAATAGTATCTTAAAAGCACATGTTAGGACTTTAAATTACATATTAGTGTTTATTTACTTACATACCAAAAGAGTACATGTTAGTACCTTTTGAAAAGGTACTGTCCTAGTGACGGTTTTGTACCTTGTTTTCTGAGAGTGTATAGTAAAATAACTGATAGCTTACGACAGTCTTTCATCTTGCCCTCAGACATTCGGGAGTAAGAACCTTCTCCGTGTAGGCGTCATCCTGCAGAGAGGCATCATAATTCTGACGCTCTTCAGTTTGCCCTGCTGGGCTTTGCTTGTGAACACCCAGCCTCTCCTTCTCTATCTGGGGCAGGACCCCGAGGTGGCCAGGTGACCGGCGCACTCTTTCTGAACATATTTGGATTGATATTGACTGTTGAATGCTGATGCACTAGAGTACACTATGGAGACTGACTGACTGACTGACACTTTCTCTCTCTCAGGATTGCACAGCTGTATGTGGTTGCATATTTGCCAGCAATTCCGGTAAGGTCCACTAATGGATGATTATGGATTGCATTTCCAGCCCAGATGAACTCAAATCAAATAATTCTTTGTATACATTGCTGTTCATCCTCATCCTGTCCCATGTCTATATTACAGGCCATGTTTCTGTATCAGCTGCAACTGTCATATCTTCAGAACCAGGTACATAAAATGATTTTTTTAAGGAAATGAACAACTTAATAACTGCATTCAGTTCTTGTACGTTGATATTGTCATGCTCATGAACCCTCTGTAGGGAGTGATCAAGCCTCAGATGTTCGCATCTGCAGTTGCCAATGTTGCCAATGTGATAGTGAACTACTTTCTGCTGTACTGGTGGGATTTTGGAGTCTAGTGAGTATAAATGTTTTCCATATTATTTATGTGTCTTTTCACATGTCTTTGGTTTTCAGTATTCTCATATTTTTCTGTTCATTTTTAGTGGGTCTGCTGCTGCAAATACCTTTGCTCAGGTTTTTAATTGTTTTGCCCTGTTTTGTTTCATCCGCTGGCGGAGGCTCCATGAAAAAACTTGGGGAGGTGAGTTTTGTGGATGTTACTTTGAAAGTGTAGTTTGCAAAGCTACCTGATTGCCTGTTTTTTTTAAACTGCCTACTACCTAGTCAAGCTACTTTTTGTTACTTTAGTCTTTTTCTTGAACAAAATAACGCTTTGAATGCTGTTTAGGGCAAACCATTTTCCTACAATAATTCGGATTTAAGCATATGACAGGGAGCATCGTTTGGAATGATTCGATTCACTAAATTGAAATAGACTTTCCATGGCCGTCTACTGGGAGTCGATTCACTGGAATAATTCTTGCGTAGGCCTATATATTTTTCCGCATATGGCAGAGAAAAGACGAGGCCATTAACTAAATCGAATAAGACTTTCCAAGACAATAAATTGAATCAGACTAACGCTTCTCACTATAATGAATCGCTAATAGGAAAGTTTCTGAAGAGCGTGTTTGTCTATTGTCTTGTTACTGGACAACCTACACAATTTAAAAAACATATCCTTCGTATAGCTGAAAGGTTAGTATACCGTCGCTACTCGCTACATTTGCGTATTTACTTCTGAATGCAGGTCCCTGTGTGAAGGTTGGTTGGGTCATGAAGGTTCAAAACACACTCAGACTTAGACTAATTTCTTACGGTTTTCCTTTTCCTCCAAAAGGGTGGTCTTCAGAAGCCTTGCAGGATTGGGGGTCCTACATGAAGCTAGCCATTCCCAGCACACTGATGACCTGTTTTGAATGGTGGATCTATGAAGTTGGAGGCTTCTTGGCAGGTACATTCCGTGGTTATAATAGTGAACTAAAACCGTAAAAATAAATGTAAAATATTGATAACAACTATTATAGTATATCAATAGTGGTAAAATAACAGTGGCGTATTCACAGTACAGAAAATAAATATGTTTATGTTTGTATACTTAACCAGTTTGCTTTTACTATTGTTTTTTCATTGAATCATTCCTTCATGAATAACTCTCCTCTTCCCATCAGGAATGCTGAGTGAGGTGGACCTGGCTGCTCAACACGTGGTTATCATGCTGGCATACATCAACTACATGGTGTGTTTGGATGATCTGAGAATATTCATATTATCCTAAAAAATGTGCCTTTTCCTTTTCATGATGGTGCTGTTTTTGTTCACCTCCTTTCTTATATGCCAGATCCCATTAGGAATGCAAGGTGCAGCGTGTGTTCGTGTGGGAAACGCCCTTGGTGCTGGAGAAACAGCTGCTGCCATCCTCACCAGCAAGGTGTCTCTCATCAGTGCAGGTAAAAACATTTGATATCAATCATCCGCAAGCCTGTCATAACACTTCAACAGTCATATGCAGCACAGATTGATGTCATGTAAACACATTCATTTTGTTCCCCAGCTGTTATAGCAATCTTTCAAGGTTTTGTTCTGGGCTCGACAAAAACAGTCATTGGCTACATATTCACTTCCGATGAGTAAGCCACTTATTTCATTTTTTCAAGCACCAAAAAAAGCCACTTATCTCATTATTTCAAGCACCAAAAAAATAACAAAATGTTTGTTGGCATAAGTACACTTTAACAAACCTATAAACACTCCTGTCTTCAAATTAAGAATTAAGACTTAGCAGAAACAATGTCAACAACAGCTGCCTTTCAATTTTCCGTTTTGTGATGTTTGTCATATTTAGGGCTATAGCAGAGCTTGTGTCTCACCTACTGAACATCTACTGCCCTCTTCAGTTCTTCAATGGAATACTGGTGAGTTCTACGCAACTTTTCTCATTTTTTAATTTTTTTACCAGTGACAGTATATAAATGGAGGAGAATGAACCACCTGTATTGAAATTAATGGGAGAATCTGTAATGCAGAAGTATAGGAGTGTAGGAATGAAAGTACTGACATTTTATATGTATGTTATTTTATATGCATTTTAATTCGATTTTCTTTATATTTTCAATACAATTGTTTTCATGTTTTTGTTAATTTTTAGTTTTCTTGTTAAAGTTTTAGTAATTTTGTTGTTTTTGTCATGTTTTTTTAAATGTCTGTATATTTTCATGAATTATTTTTAGTTGTTTTAGTTATTTTAGTACTTAGTTATTTCAAGTTGAACTAAAAAAAATGACTGAAATAAAATGTATGGATGTAATGTATATGTGCCTGTATGCAGTTCAAGTCAAGTAACCTTTATTTATAGCGCTTTTTACAATACAGATTGTTTCAAAGCAGCTTTACAGTGTTAAACAGGAAAATGGTGTGTCGATAATGCAGGAGGACAATAGTAAATAGTCAATTTTTCAGTGATGTCATCGTCCAGCTCAGTTCAGTTCTCTTCAAATAGTGTCTGTGCAATCAAGCAGACAATATTGCCAGAAATTATGTTCATATTATATTATATATCATTTTTGTTGGTTGTGTGTATATTATGAGTTCCTGCACTACAGTTTTCTTTTCTTTCAGGGTGTTGGCATGGGCATTCTTCTTGGCACAGGGCAGCAGAAGATAGCCGCTATTGCTAACCTCTTTGGCTACTACTGCATTGGACTCCCATCGAGCATTGTTCTGATGTTCACAGCTAAATTACAAGTTGCTGGTTCGTCTAAATGTGTCATAGTGACTCGTGTCACAATTACTGGTGTTCGATTACAGTGAACCTATTAATATCTACAATTATTTATTGTCTGCTCTTTCAGGCTTTTGGCTGGGCCTCCTCATTGCAGTATTTTTGCTAGCGATTTTTTTCATTGTGGCTATTTTTAAATTAAACTGGAAGAAAATGACAGAAGAGGTAAACATATCAGGTCTATTAAAACGGCACCTTTCTTCTTATTATACTCCTCATGATCATGTGCTGAGTTGACGATTAAAAGAGGTTCTTTCTCTTTTAAAGGCAATTGCGCGTACAGGAAAGAGTGCAAATGAAGCAGCAAATGGAGCAATGACCCTGAACCATCGCAACAGCTTCTACCAGGTGGTGCTCAATGCAGAGGTATTTTTTCTGTCTTTTGTAGTTTTTATTTTAAATAATCAACAAGAACTAGAAGTTTAATGCATTAACTAAAAAAAAAAACACACGAATGCATTCAATGATCTCTGCTGATTTGTACATTCATACATACACTTTTAAAGGGACGGTTCAACAAAAATAAAAATAGTTATTTGCTCATCCTCATGTTGTTCCCATGATACCTATCTATGACTTTATTTGCATTTCACAGAAGAGATTAAGATATTATGAAGAATGTTTCAACAGTTGTGTCCATATAATGAAAGATACATAATTGTACCACATTTACATTGATTGTGTTGACAAAAAACGCTTACAGTCTATCTTACAGTTTCAGAATGGGAATGGATACGTGGTTGTGAGCTCTCAAGACCAGGATGAGGGGCTCAACCATACTGTGGTGCATGAGGGGCCAAACGTGACTCAAGTGGAGGAAAAGCCTGCAGTTCTGCTCTCTACCACTCAGCTGATCCTCAGGAGGGGTCTGAGCACCCTCGCTGCTCTTCTCATCCTAGCTGTAGGAATAGGTGTCCATCTCACTGTGCCTTTACCTGAGGTATCTTATGGTGCTGGTGCAAATTTTACTTTGGACTCAAACTTTACCACAGCCACTCCCATCTAGTCAGTGAGTATCTTTTGAAACCTGGACCTCAGATAAATTCACTGTGAATATCTCTATGCTGTGAACATGAGAGGTAATGAAGAAATTGTATTGAATTAGAAAAGTAGAAGCATTTTCACATTGGTCTCAGGCTGTATATTGTTACCTAGACAGATGATTATATTTTTATTCTGTGTGCACTTGCTTTGTCCACAACATTAGGCCAAGTAGTAAGAAAATCGAGCATCTTAGCAGGAAAAGGTCTGTTCCCCAGTGACACAGTCATATAATCTCTTCAGTTGACATTTCTAGTTGGCTGGAGAAATGCTGCCAAAAAGAAGACATTCTATAAAGCCGCTGTCATATATTGAGAAATCTGTATTATTAAACATGGTGGAATGGTGGAAACTCGAAGCAAACGTCAATTGCATGCGGAACCTTCCTAAGGAATCCTGCCTGCCTATATTAAGGGGCTGTTCAAACAGAACACGTTTTTGTGTTTAAAAGTGTGAGTTGCAGGCCAGTGGAATGAAAAAAAGCATGGTCTAGAGCAGTGGTTCTCAAACTTTTTACAGCAGTGTACCCCCTGGGGCATTTAACATTCGTCTGCGGACCCCCTCTCTTCCACTTAGACCGCAGTCACACCTTTTCTATTAAAGGTTTGGATATCATGTATTTGATTTGGTTTTAATGTTACTTTAAGTTGGGGTAGAATTAAATGAATGCCAAAACTCAGAATTTTGTTTGTGTACCCCGTCTGTCACTTCATGTACCCCCAGGGGTACGCGTACCCCAGTTTGAGAACCACTGGTCTAGAGACATGCTTTTTAAAAGTTGAACTTCACTTAATTTAAGCACCACACTTTTGGAATTACATATCATGCGTGAGGTCCTGCGAAAGACACAAGAAGGGGCTGTTCACACAGAATACGTTTATGAATTCCACTGTGCTGCTTTTCAGTTGTTTTCAGTGTAAAAAATGCAATAGATGGGCATGTTTCAACATAGCATTCTAAAAACACAGTGTTTAAGTTAAAATAAACTTTAGACTCTGTGGGGGCGTCATCAGGGGCCATTCACGTAGAATGGGGTTTTGCATTGAAAAACATGCATAGTAATTAGTGAAATGGAAAACAGCAAGATCTTAGTGTTTTTTTTAAGTTGAACTTCTTTTAACTTGAGTGCTGCATTTTTAGAATACAGTGTCTTGCATGAGATGCTGCAAAAGACATGAGATGCAAGCACAACAGTCAAAACGCTTTCTGTGTGAACAGCCCTTTACACTACCTTGGCCCTTGTGTTTTTAAACACAAAAAAACTTTCTGAAAGAATGGTTCTTAGATGGTTTACACTGGAAGCGTCAAAGCAAATGTTTCGATCCATTTGTACTGTTGTATGAAGTAGAACAACCACAAGACGTACTGTATGTCAGAAATAGAACAGGACATCCGTTTATTGTTGTCTTTCATTTTTTTTGTACTGTAAATCATTTTGTTTTAAATTTAAGTGTCTTTGTGCATAAACTGTATGCACCACTTATATATACTACATTATCTACTTTTTATCATAAATATTTTGTCCGTCGCTCCATCCTAAGCCTATTAAAGGGTTAGTTCATCCAAAAATAAAAATTAGGCTGTTTTACTCACCCCCGATGCATCCTAGGTGTATATGACTTTCTTCTTTCAGACGAATCCAGTCGGAGTTATATTAAAAATTGTCTTTGATCTTTCAAGCTCTATCGTTGCACTCAGTGGGTGTTGCAGTGCTTCGGTTCAAAAGACGTGAAATAAAAAGCACCCTTCCATAAAAAAAAGTGTCTCACACGGCTCCGGGGGGTGAACAAAGGCCTCCTGTAGCGAATCGATGCGTTTTTGTAAGAAAAATATCCATATTCAAAACGTAATAATCACTTGAATCTAGCTTGCGCTCACTGTTGTAAACGGAAGCAGTTCCGGGGGAATGACGTATGAGGTCAGCTTTGCTTTTGCGCACTCAGAAGTGACGCACGCGGAGAGATCGAAAAAAAACAACGGTCACTAATTAGAAGTACAAAACGAGGATTTGTAAAGAAGAATGTCGGAGGATTTCGATATAAGCCAAGAGGAGACTTGTTTTCATTTGCTAAA